GAGTGGCAATAGACTCAGACTTGACCCAGGACCCGAGTGATAGATCTGATCCGGGTTTGGATATGGGTTACATCCCTTTTTACATTCTCGGTAAAGGCTTGAAATTAGCGGTGGCAATAGACTCGAACTCGACCCGGGACCCGAGTGATAGATCTGATCCGGGTCCGGATATGGGTGGGGACTAGCATTGGGTTATGGTCCTTTTTACATTCTCGGTAAAAGTTTGAAATTAGCAATGGCAATAGACTCGGACTTGACCCGGGACCCGAGAGGCAATAGACTCGGACTTGACCCGGGACCCGAGTGATAGATCTGATCCGGGTCTGGATATGGGTTACAACCCTTTTTACATTCTCGGTAAAGGCTTGAAATTAGCGGTGGCAATAGACTCGGACTCGACCCGGGACCCGAGTGATAGATCTGATCCGGGTCCAGATATGTGTTCAAAATTGGACCTTGCAGGTTAGGTATGGGTCCAAATCTTCGATATGAACATTATTTGGGTCCGGGTTTCGGGTCAGGCCTGTATCATTTTTTCGGATCCGATTCCTGGTTAGGCGGGACTTGACCGTACCCGACCCGTTGCTACCCCTACTTGAAATCAATTTTTTTTCTCGTATCGTATTCATAGTTGTAGAGTCAAGATAATCTATTTGTAACATTTCCAACAGCAAAACTACATTTCTAGTTAGAATTTGAGATTTCGGTCACCTGCAAAATACTTTACCATATGTTTATTATAAAAAGAGAGTGAAGATCCCTACTTAAAAAATTATTAAGGAGAGAGAATACATCTTATGTAAATGATAAAAGACAGTGGATCTGTGCTTTACCACTCTAGGAGAAAACAGATAGGGCCTCCTTCTAGAGAGAGAGAGGGAGCACTCAGATCTCCTTGAACACAATACTCAATGCTGGATCCCCAAGAGCGAGCCAGTTCCTCCCATTCACGTTATAAACACCCAAATTCCCACAAATGACCTTACAAAAGCTACAAACCCCAGGGCAAAACACCAATTTGTACCTCCCATTATCAACCCCTTCACTTTCTCTCTCTACCTTAAACCAGTTACTCACGGTCGACGAACCGGGATTCCCGGTCACGCCACCAGTCGTCACGAATCGTTTGTCGGTTGCCTCGTCTAAGCCGCCGAGCCTCCAAACGGTTGACTGGACACAAATTGTGACAGCTTGAAATCAATCGGATGTTTTGATCAGCTGAGAGCCGTATAACCTTATCACTGGCTCCAGCTGGTGAAAAGATGATCGGTAAACCGGGAGAGACACGGGTGCTTACGGCCACATTAAAGGGGCAAGAACCGTTGCGGCCCTCGAGGATCAAACCGCTACCTATCTTCTGATTGGGAGCCGGTAGTATGTAGTACTGGCTACTGGTTCGGAGAGGGCGGCCGTCTAGGTCCCATACAAAATCCGTTCCAGCCTGAGCGATTGGTGGCATTTGCGTGATCAATATTCCCACGAGGAAAGAAAGGACATGGTTTATTCGCCGCATTCTGACTCGAAAAGTTTCAAGTTCAAGATTAAGTAAATCTAGACTTCGAAACAATGTTTAAAAAATTGCCGAACCAACTAATTCCCGGTAGAAAAGAGGAAAAATGCTTAAGATTCATAGAGGGCGGAGTACCATTTTATAGGCTTGGGAGCCTCTCTCGAGAGGGACGCATGGCATGATCTAAAGGCTCATTGCGGTCCACGTGGTACCATTAGATTGGTCCAAATTGGCGATCTGAAAGTAATAGAGAAATAAATTTTTTTTTTTGAAAAGCAAAATAGTATAAGGGTAATAACTCTGACTCACTTATTAATGAACTAGTGCCCCTTTTCATCATGTAATTGAATATGGAGTTAATGTCATTGAATATGGAGTTATGGACCGGGGATAAGTAACATGAACTCATGTTACTCAAAAGTCAAAGATATATCGTTGTGTTTCTTCTCTTGTTAGGTTAAGGTAAGACAGCAAAAACGTTCATCTCTGGGTTTGCAATTAGTCTCAGCCGTCAGATTTAAAACATAGTGACTACAAATGTATCACAAAATTGAACAATGGTTTTTTTGAATTTTGAGCTTTACGATCAATAGCACACCCCAATTATCTAAATTTGCGACTAAAAGTTGAGGATGATCATTGACGATGTACCGAAGGTAAGAGCTCTTGTCCTTACTTTTCCTTTCAACCAGTGTTCGAAAGAGCGACTCGGGCCTACTAATCTACCATGGCCCGAGCCAATTAGTTGGGCTGACTTCGACTTATTGGGCCCGATTAGTGCCGAGTTGTGTAATATTAAAAAATAAGGGTAAAGAATCCCGAATAAATTATAAGAAATTTGTAAAAATGTTAAAATTTTATGTTTTTTTATAGAGTAATGATTTTATGAGACCCTCCCACACCCATGTGTGTAGGACGTCAAAGGAGTACCATTTAATTTTGTACAAATCTCTAGAAAAGTTATCTTATAGACGTGGGACTTGACTTTTGTAGAGATTTGTACCAAATTTAATGGTGATCTTTTGGAGTCTTGCAAACATGGATAAGGGAGGGTCTCACAATGTCATTTCTTTTTTTTATATTGTCACATAAAAGAAGTGAAATAAAAAAATATTATAAGCTAGTTGGGTTTGGGCAAAATTTTTAAGCAACTAAAAATACGAGATGCTTCGTATATACCCAAATATTATTAAGAAGGTATTTTTTTTTTTTTCTTTGTATATACTAAAAAATTATCAAAAAGGTCGGTCAATAGGCTTCTTTTTTTTTTTCCTTTTTTTCTTTTTTCGGGGCATTGCCCTACTAAAGAAATAACAAAAAACATAATTAGAATGTGGTAAATCCTTGGACGGAGGGACAATTTTGAAAAAAAACCGTATGTTAGACCGACTTTCTTGGTAATTTTCGAGTATATTCGGAGCTTCTCGTATTTTCGTATTTCTTTTAGAGGCTGTATATAATTTTCTCAATAAACAATTTTAGAGTTTTTGGCGGCAGAACTATATTTTCCGATAGGATTTTGAAATGGAACTTTTCATTTATATGCCTAAGCCTCAGCACGAATGGAAATTCAATTTAAATGCGCCAAACCTTTCAGAATCTTCACTTCATTGCTAATAGAGAATACGTCACGGAAACATACTACAAGAAAGACTGCTTGTAAGGCTTGAAATCCGTGTTTTTTCTTTCTTGTATGGTCATTGTAGAGTTAAGATAATCGATTTATAAGATTTCCAACACCAAGACTACATTTTCCAGTTAGATTTTGAGATTTCAATCACCTGAAAAATACTTTGCCATGTATTTATTATAAAAAGAGAGCGAAGATCCCTTATATATGACATCCTTTAAGAGAGAGAATACATCTTATTTATGTAAACATACAAGGAGAGTGGATCTGGGCTTTAACAGCATGGGAGAAAAGACTTAGGGGCGGCGTCCTTGTATAAAGAGAGAGGGAGCAGTCAGACCTTCTTGAAGACCAGACTTAATGCTGGATCCACTTGAGCCAACCACTTGTTCCCATTCTCCTCATAAACCCCTAAATTCCCACAATTGATCCTGCAAATGTCACAAACCCCAGGGCAAAACACCAACTTGTACCTCCCATTATTAACAACCTCGCTTTCTCTCTCTACCGTGAACCAGTTACTCACGGTCGCTCGACCGGGATTCCCGGTCACGCCACCGGTTATCACGAATTGTATGCCGGTCACCTGGTCAAAGTTACTACGTCTCCAAACCGTTGACTGGATGCATATTGTGATGGCCTCAAATTGGATATTTTGGTCAACTGAGAGCCGTACCACTTTATCACCGGCGTTAACGGGTGAAAAGGTGACTGGTAAACCGGTAGAGATACCGGTACTTAGCGCCACATTAAGGGGGCAGGAACCGTTGCGAGTAGCTACAGTCAAACCGCTGGTTATCTTTTGATTCAGAACCGGTAGTATGTAGTACTGGCTATCGGTTCTAAGAGGGTGGCCGTCGAGGTCCAGTACAAAATCCGTTGCCGCTTGAGCAATCGGTGGTGATTGTGTGATCAATACAGCCATGAAGAAAGAAAGGACATGGTTTATTCGCCACATTTTGACTCCAAACTATTGCGATTTCGAGTTTAAGATGCTTAAATCTAAATTTTGAAACAACGATTAAAAAATCGCCGAATCGAATGACAGAATGGCTTTAAGATCCATGACGCCGGAGGATCAATTTATAAGCTTGGTATCTTATGGCTCATTAGGGTCCACGTGGCATCATTACATTGGTCCAAATTAACCGCGTTTGGATCTGAAATGTAGTACAGGATAAGATAATAACAATGACTCGGTATTGATGAAAACGAAGTGCGATCTTTTTATCAGGTAAAAGAATCTGGAGTTATGGAGCATAGACAAGCAACATAGAGTTTTGGAGTCTCACGTTACTCCAAAGTCAAAGATATATGCTGGGTTTCTTCTGTTTTTACGTGAAAGCAAAACAGCAAAACAGTGCGGTTGAAGTTAGTGGGTATTAACGTGTCCCAAAATTGAAGAATTTTTTTTGAATTTTGAGAAGGGAAAAGTTTATATAGAGCCAAGGCTCGAAACAATCAAATTAAAAGCCTATACCAAAAATTTAACTAGAAGAGTTTGTTTTGATATCCAAATATCCTCAAATTGATTATCTCGACATCAAGATGCATGGACATGAAAAAAACATAGATTTTAAGTTTTGAAAATAGTGTATTTTGTAACGCGTTTTTAAACCGTCGATTTTCAAGATTTTCAAGTTTTCATAGATCTGTCGATCTACAATATTTTTGAAGCTTTAAAATTTATAAATAAAGATGAAAATATATTTTAAGGGTATCACAAATATTTCCAGTATTGAAACTATAGTTCTCAATACTATTAGAAGGAAGGCTCTAATTTGATTGTTTAGAGCCTAGGCTCTATCCAAATGGCACCTTTTTGAGAATTATGATCAATAGCACACCATAATTATATGCCCCGGGTTTTAAAACTTGCCGAGTCGAGCCGGACTCACCCGGTTCGACTCGGGAATCATCTGCTACCGAGCCAGTTCCACAAAAAAATCGGTTCCACAAAAAAATCGGGAATTACCCATGTCCAGAGAGAACCGAGGCGATTCCTAATAATGAATCGTGAGTCTCACGAGAGCAACACGAGGCACCTAAAAATCCTCGAGAACCGGGGCGATTCCCAATAGTGAATCGTGAGTCTCACGAGAGCAACACGTGGGACCTAAAAATCTTCCACACGTGGTAACTCACCTCACATGTCTGCCGCTTCGCTTTTCTACACACGCAGTTGAATATGTACTACACAGGACTTTATAGAGAACAAAGCGATGCTCATCCCTCGATGTGGGATAATTCCCACAAAAAATAATTTAACCAAGACAATTAAATATATATTATTATAGAAGCTAATAAATCACATTAGGCGACGTGGCGGTGTTGGTTGCCAACCTTCAATTTTCAGCGGACGTCTAGAGTTCGAACCCTGCCCGTCGTTGTTTATTTTTGTTCTCAAAAAAATAAACAAAGGTAGAAAATACTGTTGTAAAAAAATAAAAAATAATAAAAAATAAAAGGATTTGCAAGATAAAGATAAAAAATATAATACAACATTTTTTTTATTTTTCTTGTAAAAAAAATACAAGGTAATATTACAAGTATTTCTTGCCAAAAAATAAAAATAAAGGCATAAATTTTTTTTTTGACGACAAAAATAAACAAAGGCAAAAAATACTGTTGTAAAAAAATAGAAAAAATAAAAAATATAAGGCTTTTCAAGATAAAGATAAAAAATATAATACAACACTTTTTTATTTTTCTTGTAAAAAAAATACAAGGTAATATAACACATATTTATTGCAAAAAAATAAAATGTACTTTAGTAGCATCATTTTTTTATTTTTCTTGTAAAAAAAAAAAAGTAATACAACAAGCAAAAAAAATGTAGTACAACATCTTCTTCTTTTGTCAAAAAAAAGAAAAAGATAATCAACAAGTATCATATTTTTCTTGTAAAAAAAAAAAAAGATAGCACAATAAGTATTTCTTGTCAAAAAAATAAAAGGTATTTCTTAATACTACCTAGGAATAAATGGTCTAATTATATTTTTTATTTTTATAACATGATGGTCTTTAATATAAATTTAATAATATTAATTTAAAGATAGGATTCATACAATGAGGCCATTTGAAAGTTCTCTATTTCTACTAACAATCTCTTCCACTAATTTATTCTAGAAACCTAAAAAATTAAAGAAAATTGGTACGCATTCTAATAATTTCTACATTGATAACCAAATCTTTTATTTTATTTATTAATTTTTGTATTATAAATCATGTAGTGTACTATTTTTCTTACAATTGTCAATAATACATTTTAAATTAGATGATATCATAAAATATTTTGGATTTGTTATTATTTAGATAATAAAATAATTATAAAATATTGTTGGTATATAATATTATAGTTAGTTAGGTTCTAATAATTTGGGTTTTTTTAGCGGATTAGGGTTTCTCGCCAATTCGAGATTTTAGTGGCCAAATTTTCATCGATTTAGCAACTCTTTACGGTAGTCCATATATGATTATATACTTAATCCATGATAATTCTATGATTCCTTTTATGTGATGTAAATTTAATGGTCAACATAAGTTCCTACAGGGAAAGAACATCTCAATATTCATAAATTGATGAAGACAATGAAAGTTAATAATGTAGTACCCCTATTTCTTATTGGATTCCTAAAAAAAAATATTTATAATGAATTTTAATAATTTTTTTGAATTTTTTTAAGGCTTAATCCGAGTGATTCGACCTAATTCCCGACCCGGATCGCCTATTCGCCGATCCCGATCGGTTTTTGGGATGCCCGATCCGGGTCACCGATCTGTTTTTTAAACCACTCATGTGGCCTAAGATTTTGAAAACAAAATAAAGCCTTACTATCACATCCCCATCTGAAAAGAGCCTTATCTCCAATCCCCATGCGGAAAGCATTTTCGGCTACATAAATGTGTATAACGGCTTTAAAATCAATTTCCAACACCAGCAATGAAATTCGGAACTAAAAAAATGTATAGAACTTTTGGATCTATGAACACTTGTTTTTAGAGAAAAATAGATGGTCTAGATAATTTGTTATCATATACACTATTTTTAGAGCTTAAAATCCTATTTCTTTTCACAATTGTAATGTTCAAGCCGAGATTATCGATTTAGAGGCTTTCTAATGCTTGAATTGCAATTTTCGATAAGTTATGCTGTGAGCCTTTACTCATTTTGATAGTACTGAAGCCTTATCAAACCATTTTCCATTATGGAATTTTAGGTCTAATGGTTGAGGACGATCATTGACCATGTACTAAAGGTAAGAGGTGTTATCCTTGCTCTTCCTTTTAGGACACGGCCTCTATGCGGCCAGCCCGCATATTGTATGAATGCAGGCTTGGCAATAAATATATTTTTAAACATAAGTTGATCCAAATTTATGGAGAATATATAATCGTCAACATGGTGATCATGAATATGAAAAATATAATTATTTGAAAACTAGATATAATAATTATATCCATTAGGTATACTTGTTTTTAGATGGACCACCTATTTACATCCATCTTTAAGATGGATAGTTTATACCTCTGGACCGCATATTGTAGAAATGCGGTCCAGCCCACATGAAACAGTTTTCCTTCCTTTTAATCTTGGAAGCTTTGAGAATATTAGGATTATATATAAAGTGTAATTAGATCCCACCTCAAAAATTCTACTAGAAGTTGTTTTGATGCCCGAATATCCTCAAATTGATCATCTCGACATCAATATGCATGGACATGAGAAAAAAAATTTGATTTCAAGTTTTGAAAATAGTGCATCTTGTAACACATTTTTGGACAGTCAATTTTCAAGAGTTTCATAGATCTGCTCGATCTACATTATTTTTAAAGCTTTAAATTTTCTAATTAAAGATGCAAATATATTTTAAGGCTGTCACAAAGTTTTTCAGTATTGATACGACATTTCTCAACAGTATTTGAAGGTGTCCTTTACTTTGATTGTTTAGAGCATCTTCTCTATACAAACTCCGTAACGGTTTTGCCTAAAAACAGCCATCGACCTATGGGAGCTGTGGCGGTCGCCTCATATTTTTTGCATCAAATTTGCGTAAAAAAAATACCCGTCATGGACTTGCCATGTCCGTGACGGTCTTTAATCCACGCCGTCCGAAAAAATCGGACGGCGCCGAGCCTATGGATGAAAATACTATTTATTGTTACCTATAGGCGTTTTGTAGTCTCTTCCATATATATATACTTTATTAAAAAGAGGTTATATTAAGGTGCTAATACTATGGAGTAATTTATCATGATACTTAACAAAATTTAGACACCTATATACATTTGTTTTCTATATGGAGTTTTTTTTAGTAAGGGCATTTTTAGTCATTAATAGGAGTGTGACGTCATCTAATTATCATACGACAAAAAAGAATCTTATTAAAAAATACTCTATATACAAAACAAGGATATAAGAGTGTTATAATGATAAATTACTCCATAACGTGAACACTCTACCTATATGAACCATTACACAAGTTTGATTGAGCTAATAAAGAGATTACAGGAAAAAAAAAAGGACAGAGAGAAGGAAAGCTCTAACCAAAGTCGGCTGATTAGCTAAACAATCTATCTGTATTGAATTCTCTAACAATGTGGACGAAACAGACTTCTCCCTCGCAAGGGATAAAAGGATGTCTTGTTACGACTTTTCTATACCCATGGTTTCTTACAACGTTGGGAAGCCTGGATTTGTCTTTAAAACCGATGCTATATTCACACCATCTCCATGGTCGCTTCAATTGATAACTTTCCCCCATGTTCACAATGCATGTCTTGAATGTATAAAAACCCTCTATTTACATGATCTCTATATTTGACTTTTTCTTTGATTTTTTTTTTCATTAGAATAATTGTTTCATGCGGACGGGAACGCATTGGTACAATATGCATTCCAGAGGTACAAAGCACCCATCTTAAAGATGGATGTAAATAGGTGGTCCATCCGAAAATAATTGTAATTAACGGTCCAAATGTTTTTTAATATAAGTATTATTTCCAGTTTTAAAATTTTATTTATTTTTTCATATTCATGATCTCCATGTTAAAAATT